ATGAGCAAAAACGGTAGCAGGGGGGAGTTTTCCGACATTTTTTCGGGTAATAAATTTCTTGATCCGAGGAAAATATTTCAAGGTGGTCATCCCATAGTAATATGTGGAAGAACAAGTTATTCTTATACAGTTTGCCTCCCAGATCCTAATAATGTCCTCAAAACTGAAAAATGTTTCGCCAACGTTAAGGGCAAAATTTACCGTACTCTTAACCGTAATTGTGGTAAACCAGGGTAAGAAATTTGTAGCAGAAATTTCAATTTCCTTTGTAAATTTACTCAATAACTCTTTCACTGCAACTTATTAGTAACTTAATATTTTAGTATAATTGCTTCATATCCGCTTTTGGAAGAAAGTGTTTGTTTGTATCTGATAAAATTATGCGACTCGCCTGCTCCACTCATTTTATTATAGGATAAATTTTAATATTTTATTCTTTTATCTACAAACTATTAGTGTCTTACTTATAATTTTCTAATTATTTTATTATTATTATTTTTCAATTTTAAGTTATTTACTTTTAAGCTTTCACGTAATATATAATCCTAGCGCATGAACATGGATGATAAACACAAAACAGAGAAGAAAAGGAGAAAGAAAAAAGTTGGAAAGTGTGAAGATAATGAGGGGCGTAGGTTTAGCCATTACTGTAATTATAATCTCAGTAGTGATGAATACAACAAGAGGTGGAGCTTATAATTCAGCACTGGAAACCAATTACAGCCGCAGTTCCATCAAGTGTCCTGGTGATTCAATGGCTACTTGTCTTGCATCGTCAGATGATATAGATCTGGAGTTTTCCATGTCTTTCACCAATAATCTTGTAAGCATTAATCTGGCAATTCCCAGGCCAGGAGATTTGACCAAAGCCAGTGGCAATGATCAGAAACCTATTTTAGATTGCGGAAGAGGCTCAGGTATTTTGGGTTGTCTCCCTCAAGATAAGAACAATGTGAAAAGACCTGAACATTGTTTTGATTCTACCTTTCCTCCTCGCGATTGCTTTCAGCAGTGAGTTATAATCAGATCCAGATGAAGGTTGCACGTTCATGTCTAGTTAATGAATTGGGATACTCTGATTTTCCGTTTGGATTTCTGCCATTTTCATTTTAGAATCAGATTTTACCCTACTCTGTAAATTTCTTTTATAAATATTCATGGAATTGGTTTCTTCCACTTTTGTTGCCTAAAAGATTCTATAATATTGCTCGTGCCAACTGTATAAAGTGGACCACTTTTGACATTTTCTGCCGACGATTTTTAGTTGGGTCTTCTCCAGCCGACAATATTTTTTTCTGTATGACATACTAAATTAAGTAAACATCTAATCCTTGATTGTTTTTAATATAAACAAGAGGAAAGTTGGGGAGTCCTTTTCAATATGTAAATATTTAAAGGCAAATATATTATTTTACAAGTGTTAGGAATACCAGCTTTCATCCATGGCTATTCTCTGTTGGATTAGAAGCTATAAGATCGTGTAATACTATATTGATATAATTATATATTCTGCACGATTCAATCAGTCACGGAAACTAATGAAGCAAATTTCAATTTTTTTTTTTTTTTCTGGGTCAAATATTATATGCAAATTTTTGTAAGAAACATTAACAAAGCAAAATTTCTTGTCCACCAAACAATGTTTCTGTCTATATATACACATAATGCGACCTGGGTTTTAATATCTTGAGCTGGTAAATAATTAGAGAAAGAGAAAAACCAAAATGGGTTCGTTTGTGAAGATGAGAAGCCGGGTGGTGTGTAGAGCTCAAATGGTGGTCATGATGTTGACGGTGATGATGATGTCTGCAACAAAGTGCAGAGCTGAGAAGAAGATGAATATTAATAAAACGTACAGCTGCATCAATGGCGGCTGCGGCCTCATCGCCGACGATGCAGAGGTGGAGTTGTTGATGGAATCGCAGATCAGCAGGCTTCTCCTTTCTCCCGGAGGATCGGTGGCCGGCGGCAGTTTTAATCGGGATAAACCAGTTGTGGATTGTGGAAGAAATGAACCAAATAACAAATGCACCCCAAATCCCAATAAACCCAAGAAGGGGGAAAATTGTTCTGGTACTTCTTACAATCGGGGTTGTTGATGATCTTATCAATTTATAACTCAAGAAATCTGTTCTAATTGAAAAAGAAATTATGTATGAATTTTACTCAGTGCTTGTTTTCAATCATCAATCTCAACTTAAACAGTCTTCTTTGCTTCTTATGCTCTTCACTCTAAAGTTATTTGTTAATGATAAATACAAAATTAAAATTTCCTCATTTTCAATGACAACCATTTGGTGATTTCTTTTAACGAAAATGAAATGTTGGCAGGGAAATTTATTGCATTCCATCTTCTCCCTATTGGCTGGCCATAACTAATGAAACAAATAAAGTTTTCATTAACTCCGTCTTTTACATATTTCATATAATTAGAAGGCAACAAAAAATTCATATATTATATAATTACAAAGATGTGAATTAGGTGAAATATTTAATTTCTCGTGGAAGAAATATTTTAACTAATAGAATTTTATCATCACAGTTTAATTAACACGTTAGTAAATTAAATTTTTAATTTTATTAAATTAAATATTATATATCGAGATCAGAATTATCATATAAAATAGATAAATTTATATTTTTAATAAACTTGGTCTAACTACAAAAATCTTAATTATTAATACCATTAAAAAAAAAAATCCTAAATATGGTTGGGGTTAGTTGGTAGTTTATTATTTAGGTTTGATAATTTATAATGGTCAATTTCACAGCCAGCTAGCTCTTAGTTATTCTTTAATTTCTTGGAGTCCTACTCTTTTTAAGTGCTCCATGGGTGGACACGGAGAAAGAAATTAAACACGGGAGCAGGTGTCACTAATCTTGCGATGAAGAGACGTGTGGAAGCAACAGCAATGGCGGCAATGCTTCTTCTATTGGCGTCGGCTGCAACAGCTGCTACCATTGATTCAGCCGGAAACAGCAGCAATATCACTTACTACGGTGACGATGTGGAGTTGTTGATGGAATGGAATGCTGCTGGCAGAATGCTGTTTTCCGGCGGTCCTTACTCCGACATCACACTGAGTCGGGGGAGAGCAGCTAATCGGAATTGTGGGAGAAATCGTCGTTACACGCCATGTGTCCCAGAAATAAACATAAAACGAAAAAATATTCAAAGTTGTAGGAGTGGTGCCTATAATCGTGATTGTCTTAGCTGAATCTCATTTGATCAATTTTATTCTTCATTTTATGTTGTTAATTCCTGAGTTTTCTTCGATTTTAGTTTGCTTTGTTTAAAAATTTATGTATGTGCAAATATTATTTTTGAGAAAATAAAAAATTTCCAGAAATTTGAATGAATTTTGGCTCTGTTGATCAAGTTGAAATGCAAGAGGTCAAATATCTTCTATCAAGGCTGCTTCTTGTCCGCCCCAAATATGCATTTAGAAAATGTAAATTCTGGGTGCCTTGTTTGCTTGTGGCTGGAGAATAAATTCTTTCACTTTAAAAGAAAACACCCGGATGTATAATCTCGAATTCGAACTCATATCTTTTAGAGAATGTTACGAGTACTCATCATTCTTAGTTTTTTTTTTTTTTTTTTTTTTTAAATCTCAAAAATTCACCGTCATATTCTTACTAGAAATAACATTAATTAACAGCATATTTTTTTTAGTATGCAATCAATAAAATCAATACAACATTTATTCTACAACTCATACAAACTAGTCATGGCATATATATATATATATATATATATATATGTCTAGTCTTCGTCAAATGGTAATATTTCCGAAATTTATAAGCAAAATTATTTGAAACTGTAAATTTGATGTGTTAAATAAAATTTGATGTCTCGTCATCCAAAGACATCTATCAATCAACTGGTTTGTAAATAAGAACCAAATTGTAAGAGAGATGAGCTTTTGAGATGTTAATTTGCTTGACTTATCACACAAGACTGTCATATTGTTCTTGGAGTTTTGTGGGTTAAGCTTTTTGCATCAATCATCGTTAACTAATCAGAGAACCAAAAGCAAAATAGTTAAAACAAAATTTTTAGATAAAAAATTTTACTCCCAAGGATCTTTTCTATGGATTGAAAAGTTCTAATTGACTTCGTTCTATTTATCTTTGTTCGATGGACAAGAAAAAGCACTAGGGTTGGACATCAAATAAAATCTCAAGTTCTGGAAGTGAGAGGGTCCATGTCCTTCACAAGGTGGTTTGGTAACTTACATTTAATAATCTTATTTTTGTTCATAAATTTCGTTAGGTGACAAAGTAGTTGTTTCGTTTCTATTTTGATCAGGTTGTTTTATGGGTCAAGTTTTAATCAGGGTTATTAGGTCAATTGGTTTTGTGAGTTGATGATTGTATTTTTTCTAAAGTATCTGCTAATCTTTTTTTGGATTTTGTGAACATTCCCACATGTTATTGTGATTGTTTTAGTTCTAGGACAAATTTATTAGTGCTTCTTGAACTATGAATCAAAAATATTCTCTCTTTAAATCTTTGCTAGGTACTTTGTTTTGGGTAAATTCAGCATTATCTTCTGGAGTTGGTTCTTTAGAAATCTAGTTTTGATTATGAATTTCTTATTGCGTCTCTGACGTTGGCATCGTGGAAATTTTTAATTTCTTTCCTTTTCATTCCTTTTCTCCCAATTTGGAAGAAAACAAAACTTTCAAGGGGATGATGTTATTCAATTCAATCATGTTTTAGATTTTTGTTAGGAAGATATCGAAACATCCATCTTAATCAAATAATTCTTGTTTAAGTCCTTGGCAACCACACTACTTGTTTGTTGTTATTTATTAAGAATACCTTCTCAACTTTTATATTTGACCATCTGATACTTTTCATGTACAAACTGAGTTTTGTTGAAAATCTTTCCGACTCAATTCATGCAAGCCTCCACGGGATTTACAGCAAAGATTTCTGAAAGGTGCAAACCCAATTCGTAATGGTAGTTCACAGCACAGTGCATCCATCTTTTCAAAGGGGTAGATTGATAAATAAATGTGAATCAAAATGACTATAATCACTGTCAAAACTTTTCCAAATAAAACTTGGATTACGATTGAACTTAAATGGTGAACAAGTATTGCACTCTCAATCATACATCGCAAAGATGGACCTAATGTCTGCATTAATATCTTCCACAAAAATTTCTTAACGAATCATCAATCCTTGAACTGCTTGGGCACTATCTTCAGTTATCTTGTTTGCTTGAATAGTGCTGATGACATTCGCAATATTACCCTGACAGAAACATCAAATTAACAAATCATTTAAACAGAAAGTAACCTAACAGCTCTGCACAAACTATTTTAAGATCAGCCTTCAAACAAAAACATAGCTATAAAACATAGACATAAAGTTCAGCAAGAATGACAATCAGATATGGAACAACACAAATTGGCATGAAAATAAAAGACCGGAAAGAGTGGAAAATCCTTTACCCTCCATGTTGCTAACTTTCCTCGCAGAGCTAGCCATTGCTTTTGTCCAAATGCGCGCTCAGTACACCGACTGCAATACAAAATGAGGGAATTTTAGCAAAAATAATTCCTGCTTGTCTGTAGGTCTGTATATGATAAGAGTCACAGAGATATTACCTGACAACCACAACCTGATTCATCTGGTCCATTTTACAATCAATCAATTTTGCAGTTATTGCCTTTACAACCCACAATTCCACCTCGTCATCATTGATCTGCAAAGTACATGAACCAATAAGCATCCAGACTGTTACTGCAGATCTCTGTCGAAGTAGGAAAGACATATTACCCGTAGTGTGTCTCTGATAAGGGCATATGGAATTTCACCAGATTCATCAGAGGCAAGATCCACCAATGATATCAACCTCATCTTCGCTATACAGTCTTCATGAACAAGACCTACACCGATGCAAGCAGCAAACATGAAATGAATTTCAATTTGCAGAAACTAGAGCTACTATTCTTCTGAGGCCAACAACATAGAATGCTAGAACAGCGTGTTATCATCAATGTACGATTAAAGATATTACCATAACTTTTCAGCAAGGTAGAATTTGCAGCTTGAAATTCCAGGTAGGCGTCAAGCCTCTGGGGCAGAAATATCTTAAGAAGTTGATACACCAATGCATATTTTGCATCTTTCTCTAATTGTCCAACAGCTGGCATATCTAACAAATCACACTGCACAAAATACCGGTAACTCTCTTTTAGCATTTAAATATAGGCTAAATGGGAAAACAGACATCAAATGATGAAAAACTGGCTCCAAGCTGCAGGAATAAATAAATAAACAAGTTCAGACTCATCCAGAAAAGAAACAGAATGATCGTGACAGCTAATAAACAAAGAAAAATCAGAGAACATAATGAAAAACCTATGAAATATTATTTTTAATCGACCAAAAATGGACCAATACCCCACTTCAACAATATGATTTATGTTCAGGAAAAGACATTAGCAGAAACAAGAATATCTTTCTACCTAGCCCTCATGTAGTGAATTCCATAAACCTGGCTACAACCATTATGGAATTACATTAACATCTATATTGCATTGAATTAAAAGTGTGTGAAGATACATGTCTAACCATGATCTGCCAACTTTCCAGTCCATTAATCCTGTTTAAGTGTTACACGTGACATGCTGTATGCTTATGGCACTGCAGAACACATTTTGCACCTTTGATATCAATAATATGCTGTAAGTACTGAGAACATAATATATGCGAGATAGCCTTTATGCAAGCACAAAATGGGCAAAGAGTGACATGTGTTTCAGATTGCACGACACAACAGCCAGTATGAAACATAGCATGGAATGCGGCATCAATTTTGTGATCAGGCAAACTGTTATTGCAAAGTTCATATTTGTTAGCACAGTAACTTTGCAATTGACCAACAATAAAACAAGTGAAGTGAACACAACACAGTGCATTAACCTCATATTCATAATTCGAAGTTCAAGAAATCTTATATTCTTACTAGGTATAGGTGTTCTATGGATGCTACCTCTGGGAAAAAATTTCATACATATTTTGTTAATTTATTCTGTTTTAGATTTCCTCTATAACGTATGAATATATGATGTAATTCTACAATTTTCTTTTAAATTTTCACATTAAAATGAAATACAAATAAATTAAATTATTTCAGGACTAGACTACTTGTTAATTATTAGCTCAAGTGGTCAATAAACATACAAAGGGAATAAGTTTTAGAATAATAATTGATAAACAATAAATATTTTGCATTGTAAAAACATTGAAAACAAATGATCAGATATGAAATGGGGCAATTAGCACAACATAATCCATTGAACAATACAATGCACTGGGTGGTGAAACGTGGGCTAATATAGAGAATTTTATTTTTCGTGTGACATGACATGATAAAATATTTTGACATGGCAAGACAAAAGAAAGTGTTAGATGCAAACTAAATGGTTCTTCGTAAATGGCACGGACCCTTAACACCAATAACCCATGACATCTGTAACATAATTATCCAAGTTCTGTTTGTCCAGGTAGCACACATGTACTTAAACAATTAAAATAGTTAAATGATTTCCCTTCAAACACAACACTCACAACAATAATGAAGAATCTTTGAAGCATTTTGTAACCAGAAGAATAAAAAATTTCCAAGGTAACATTTGGGATCTTAGTCAATGCATATTAAATTCTTTCAACATTCTGTGGTTCTATTTCAACCACATTATCAAATTAGTGTCAGGAAAATAGAGAATGTCGCTATAGGATTAAGATCAACAATGAAATATAATATAGGGAATTTTCATCAATCATCTGAAAAATTTCATGAACTACAGCAATTATATGTAAAACAAAAATAAAATATATCCAAGCAAAAGTAATGGAATTCAGGTGTAAACATTTAAATGACTGCTTAAAAACAATAGAACAGTAAGCACATACCAACTACAAGAATTAAAGAGGTATAAATTTAGACACTTGTAAAAAGGTAAACAATAATTCACAGAACTACCACAGAGCCGGTTTTGAATGCAGTACAACTATGAAGAAAACACATGCCCAAACAAAATGCAATTTCAACAGAAGCTCATATACCATGAAACTCAAGAGGGTTTCAAATACCTGAAACATTTCCGGTGCCTTCACAAATTCTATTATTGTCCGCACAGCTTCCTCCTTAGCTTCACTCATAGTATAGGCATCCTCACCGGAGAAAGTCGCTAAATACTTTGTCAAGAACTTAAATGATTCTCTTGCTGAGCTGAAATTACATAAGCCCTAACTTATTTATATTTCGTATAAAAGACCAAATATCAATTAATAGAATCACTTTCATGGAATCTGATAAACCATTACTGTGATACCTTTTGTTTTCTTTCAGTACATTAGCAATGCTGATAAAGAGTTCTCTTTGGTCTTGGACCCCAATATTCCACTCTTTCAAGAAACTTTCGATCATTTTGAAAGAAGGTACGATATACTCAGTGACTTTCCCACTAACTGCAAGATTAAGGGCTTTCATGTATACATGGAAACGGCTGTACGGGTTCTCCAGCAGATTATAGAGATTGAACAAGCTGGCAAATGACTTGCAAAAATAAGAAAGTTGCTTCGAGTTTAAACTTGTAAATGAGAAAATAATCACCACATAATTACATCTTTAAGCGCAATGCAGGCCTGTCATCTGGTTGCTGCGTGATCTTTGTTGATATAAGTTTTGATATCTCGAGTGATTCATCTGGACTTTCAGGCTTTATAACAAGATTGCAGATTACTGTAAAGATGCATTCAAGGTCTGGAACAAGAAACAACAAAAAGATTATTTATGAAATTAAATCCATGGTCAATATAATAAGAACAAAGAATCAAGCATCAAGCATCAAGCATCAAGCATCAGAATGTTACTGAAGAGAACGAATTGCTCAAAAATCTAATCGAGGTTAAAACAGGAAAAAACATTAATGCATAATATTATATAAGAAATTACTGATTGTATCAGTTCACGAAGTTTATGACTACAGTTGATAAAGATGCTATCAAATTTAACCTTAATGCAGTCATATATTTTGAGCTGAAAACGTGCTGAGATGGTTTCATAGACAAATTCTTATAATCATTTATTTGCAACAAGGAGGAAATATCAGCAAAGAAGCATACGCTATCGTCCCTTAAGCTTTCACTATATCCTTGCTTATTAAATGAACTCAACAAGTACATAATGAAATGCAAGCAATAAAAAAACGTGCAGATCAACAGTTACTACCCTCATCCACCTCCCCCCTTTTGGGGCCACAACAACCACAATATAACTTCCGTTCTTTACTTTTAGAACTGAAATATAAATGAAAATAACAGCATATTACACCTTTCTCAGAAACCTTTGAGAATATCAAGTCAGCTGAAGTGAGAATCAAGGAGGTCAAATCCAACCATCTGCCCATAACCATGCATTCTTGGGCCTCCACGTATAGCCTATTAACTTGTGGCTCTGCAACCTGAAAAGAACAGAAATGTTTAAATTCAAACAAAATTCTCATATATTGAATATTAGCCAAAAAAAGTAAAAAAAGTCAAATGACAATACAATTTCACCCAGAATCTTTTCCCTTTGCTTAAGAACTGTATGGTACTAGGCATAGAGTAACCTAGCATACAACTGAAACTACAACAATCAAGACCTAAGTAACAAATTCATGCAAACATCGCAAAATCAATAAGAATTACGTATAAATACATTAGTTATCTTGATTCCAAACATTTGGAAAAAAAATAAAAGAAGTAATAGAAAGAAAACAACGAAAATGAGATGAGTAATCTATGGAAATTGATCCTTCCAATTCAATTCTCACAACAAATTTCCAAATGTAGATAACCCTAAAATTAATACCTCGGCACCAGCATCAGCCCAGGCGAGCTCGGAGGTGAAGCGGACAACAGCAAGCGCTGGATCTTCCTCAGAGATAGGTACGACTGTCGTCATTATTTCTGTTTTCCAAAGCTCTACGCGTTTGAAGGCCTGGGGAAGATTGCTTTAGCAGCAGAATAGAGTGCAAACCCTAGGCTTCGGTTTTCTTTCCTTCTCATTTTATTCTTTTAATGAGTATCTGAGATAGGGTAGAAAATATGCGCTGGAGCTGGCCCGAACTGGTTGGGCCTATGAGCCCGTAAGACAAGGTGACGGGCTACAAAATACACACGAGCTTAGAATCATTATAAATGCTGCTCGCTGGAGGCCCAAGATATATAAACAAATAATAATAATAATAATATTTTTTTTTAATATTTTATCTTTTTTGATAATAATATCATAATATTCTTATATTTTTAGCTTTAACTTAAAATAAGACTTTATTTTTACTAAGGATGATATTTAAAAGCTTTGACTAATTTTAACTGATACTTTATTTGTTATATAATTTAAATTATATTATGATTCTGTTCGAGTGATAGAATACATAATATTATCATTAAATTTTTGTGTGTAAGTTTATGATACTATTGTTAAAACGATGCCAATAAATAAAATATGAATAGTGAAAGATAGTATAGTTATAATAATAAAATTGTGCAAATTATATTTATTTTCTAAGAAAAGAGTTTATGTCAATTTTTCATATAAAAAATTAAGAAAGTAAAATATAACAAAAGCGATGAAAATTATTTTTTGACTTTTTCTCTTTTTTTAATTTAATTTTAAAATTGTTATAGTTAAGTTTTTAGAATTTTATGAAGAACGAATATTTAAATAATTTTATTTGTTTAAATTAATATATTTTATTTTAAATTTTATTGAAATATCGGAAAAAAAAAATCAATTACTAAAGCTCGAAAGGATCCCAACGTGTTCTCTTTTTCTTTTTTTTCTTTTTCTTTTTTTTCCCAAACTTACTCTATTTAAAATCTTATTAAACAATCCAAACTCCCTTATACCTCTGCTCTCTCTAGTTTCCAATCCACTAACCGTGTAATTATGTAATTAAAATAAGTATATAATTACCGAAGCTCATATAAGGATCCCAACATGTTCTTTTTTTTTTTTTTTTTTTTTTTCTGGTCGAATTTAAAT